TCATGGAGATGTTACAAATGTGGGAAGGAAGGACATATCAAGCGTGATTGTCCAAGCATTAAAAAGAAATACAAGGCCCACAAGGCTAAAAGTGTGGTATATAAGGACAAAGAGGACACATTTGAGGGAGCTTTTGTTGTAAATGAGTCATGTGAAAGTGATGCACAACAAGAAGAATGGTTAATTGATTCAGGAGCGTCAAAGCACATGACATGGAATAAAGAAGCTTTACAGAACTACCAAGAGTTTTCAGAACCACAAACAGTGAAACTCGGTGATGGCAGAGTAGTTGAGGCTTTAGGTCTGGGCAACATAACAATGAAAATGTCATTCAGAGTTAGTGATGGAAAAGATGTCACAATGTATGATGTGCTGTATGTTCCCAAATTATCAATGAACCTTTTCTCAGTGGGAGCTGCTGCCAAGAAGGGAAACACAGTGAAGTTCAAAAGGACTCATTGCTACATAAGAGGAAAGAATGGAACTCTCCATGGAATGGGAACACAAAGATCTGACGGATTGTATCAGCTGGATATCGAGGGAAACTGCACAACTTGTCATGGAGCGTTAACTACATCAGTTCCAGCAAGTATGTGGCATCACCGCCTAGGTCACACTACAAATCTGGAAAAACTCAAAAACTTGGTAAAAGGAGTTAGCTTTACAAATGAAGAGGAGGACATTTTTTGTGAAGCTTGTGTTGAGGGCAAATTATCAAGAAAACCTTACAAATCAGTGGGAGAAATACGATCGAAACGCAAGTTGCAATTAGTGCATAGTGACGTTTGTGGTCCTTTTCAAACTGAGTCACTAGGAGGAAAAAAGTACTTTGTAACTTTCATTGATGACTACTCCAGATGTTTTAAAGTGTATTTCATAAGAGAAAAAACGGAAGTCCTGAGCAAGTTCAAAGAGTTTGAAAGAATCTTCTCAAATGAATGTGGACAGGGAGTAATAAGACTCAGAACTGACAATGGTGGGGAATACACATCTAAAGAGTTTCAAGAATATTTGAAAGCTCAAGGCATCCACCATGAAATGACTGTACCACACACACAAACAGACATTAGCCATATGAAAGTATTTGGATGTGTTTCTTATGCTCATGTTCCAGACACAGAGAGAAAGAAGCTGGACAAAAAGGCAGTGAAAGTTCGTTTCCTGGGATATGCAACCAATGCAAAAGGCTACCGACTGTGGGATGAGGAAAAAGGAAAAATACTGATTCGACGAGATGTGGTCTTCAATGAAACAGAGTTTAAATG